TTGAACTTGTAATAATATTTCCCCATCCTCCATATTTTCTCTTACCATTCCTAAAATTATATGTGTGTATATATATATATATATATATATATATATATATATATATATATATATATCCTCTTCTGAAAACCTTGTATTTTCCCCAAGTCTTTCTTTTTCATCAGTATCTTGCTAATTCTGTGAAATGCATAATCTCTTGTTTTTAGTGGTTCTTCTGTTTCCTTTGTTTTTTCTTTTTTGGTTCTAATGTCTTTTTATAAGTAAACAAACAAACAAAAAAGAACATAGCCGGAGAGGCAGCAGACCCTTCAATGAATAAATTTAGAGTGCTGATAAAAGTGAGTACCCGTAAAAATAGTGTCAGGATGTAAAAAGTGAAAAAACTGGTGCGCAAAAAGCATGACTCTCAGTAAGAATGTGAAGGTGCATTTGACATTAAAATATAAACTACAGAAGTACTGCAAATGCTAATGTTTGTAAACATTTCAAACAAAAGTGAGAAGTAATGTTCAAGATTAGTTAGCAAAGTAACCACACACGCACGCGCACACACGCATGCACACACACATCCACAGCATGTGTGGGAAAGTCAGAGAAAACCCTGGGGGAGACAACCACGCGGATCCCCGGGACTGACCGGAGATTATCAGGCCTGGTGGCAGGCCTCTGTACCTGATGAGCTATCTTACTGAGCCTTTTTTTTTTTTTTTTAATCAAAGCACAATTACAAAGCTGAATAGATGAATTAGTATGCAGAAATGCCTTCTCATTGAGGACTTTTCACTAAAACATAATAGTAAGATAAAAAGAACCAAGAAATTGCTTTTAGCTTAAGTGCTTAGGAACATGAATAAAACTTTGGATGTATAAACATTTTCCATTTCTAAATCTGAATTTAAAAAAAGGAGGAGAAAACATTAATTTTCAAAACTTCAAAAAATATAAATTTATTAAGGAATGAAGAGAAGAGTCATTTGGAAATTATACTTTATATTTGCCGAGGGGAGAAGAGATACAATAATGAAGTTCAGATAAAGGGCTTAACAAATGATAGAGAGCAGCTACAGATTCCATAAGACTACAGGAGAAGGTTAGTATTACTTATAGAAAAGAGGTATTTAAAGGTGGAAAATTAATCCTTGGATAGTTACAAGGCTTTGTTTTTAAAAATGTAATCTTAGGATACTCTTCTAAGTATAGACAATTTACAATTTATTCTAAGAACCCACAATTTTATGATCTTTTGTTTTAAATTTAAAATATATTAAAATTTTCTTGATTGATCATGGACTATTTTTACTTTTGTACTAGGATAACAATCTTAATTTTTCTAAGGTATTTATTATTTTGTAAAGGGTTTCTTTTAAGTTCTCTGAAATGTAGTGTTATACCCAGTTCGCAAGCCCCCAAAAGAGCTACAGGAATCGACTCCGTTGCAAAACACATGAGGGTCTTTTTATTGTAAATTACAAGCTGCAGTTTGGGCCAACACAGCCCCACCGCCGAAGCGGTGGGAGCTGAGCCCCCGTGCCAGGTTAGTTGGGTGATTTATAGATTCTGGTCCATCCCAGCATGCCCAAGGCAGGGGCAATTCCTGCCTGGCAAGCATCTATTGGTCAAAATGCTACATTTTTGAATCGATTGGCTATAGGAAGGTTCCCAGGCCATTAATGACCAGGTGTTCCTCTTTAGGGGGATGGGCCAGTTTCCTAGCAACTGTATCTCTAGTGGGTGGGGAAAGAATGCAGCGAGGTAGCTCTCCCCTCAGGGGATTACTAACTACTTTACTGCACCTACTCACCTACTCTAGGTTTTAATGATAGCTGTCACTTTGGTCTCTCAGTAGCAACTTCACTTAAAAAAGCTTCAGGGTCAGAGTCTTAAAAACAAATATCTCAAGAAAAGTCCATAAATAGAAACTATGCAATCTTTTAGAGGAGACAAGTGCTTTTTAAATTATATTTATTTACAAAGATATGTTTGATGTGTTTCCCTAAATAGAATCCTGTTCATTCAATCCAAGGATGTCACAAATGTCTCTAACATTTGCTTTAACCACCCTGTAGAACAAGTTCTTGTACAGATAAGTCCTCCTCTATTAAATAAGCATGAACAATTGGTCTATTAAGCTATCTAAGTATGCAGATGTTACCTGATACACTATATCGAACAAAATCTTCTCCAACAACCAAGCACAGATTACAAATAATGATATGAATAAATCAAGTGTATTTCCTACTGTGATTAAATTTTATTGTTTAAATCAGCCGACAGAGTCAGTCTTTCTGACAAAGACATCAGTGGGCGGGAGTAAGGTGAAGCTCAGCAGTGGGTGCTTGCTGGACCTCTGTGAGACGCTAGCATCCACAGCACTGCAAAACAAGCCAACCAACCAAAACTGATGTGTTTCTCTGAATAGAATCTTGTTCATTCAATCCAAGGATGTCACAAATGAATCAATACTGTACATATAAATACATTTGTAAAGTCCACATGTTTATAACTTGTTTCTTAATAGTGGTTTAAAATAATCTTTGCTTAAATTAAGGATGCAAAAATTACAAGTTTTCAAATAAAGTAGAAAGCTGCCAGACTGAAGTCAGCGTGGCCAGTGCCAATGCTGAAAACTAAGTACTTACTTCAAAATCAGAGTCCGAGCTCCCGAGTGACCATTTCTATTTTCTGTAATAATAACCCAAGATGGGTGGTCTGAAATTAAATTCATCTTTATTTAAATGACATTTTAACTACCATAGTTCCTGATATATTGTAGCCTGATTTTTTTTAATTTTAATACCTGAAAGATTTCAAGTAAAACACCTTTTTTATCCGATTCCTCAAGATATAAATTAGTGAGATAGTTGGTACTGAAATATGTTCTTTTATTTGGGATATTTCAGGAATGACAATCTGTTTATGAGAAGGAGCAAACATTTAACCTTCAAAGTGTAAAGCAAGAGTATAAGATGTTTGCATGAAATATCTCACATCATGTAAGCTTTTCCATATCCTTACATGGATGTTACATACAAGTCTTACTTGTCTTGTGTTCTCCATTACGAATGCAAGGAGACTGATACATGTACTGGCTCTTTTCCATACTGAAAAGCATGGCTTTGTCCCTCTAGGGTATTTTTACACCTCTCAGCAGGAGTTATTTAATAATCTGCCACATCTGAACTGAAGCTTAAATGACCTGCTGAGCCAGATAATTTCTGAGATTGTAGTTTAATTGCTCTACAATACTTGGTGAGAATGTATTCTTATTTTAATTTCCATTCACAATCAGTCTCTGCTCATCATAACTATCTAATGAGACCATTAAGAAGTAAATTTGATGTTTCTTAGTATGAATGTATGTTTTTCTTTAAAAAAAAAAGTCACTTTTAATTTTTTATTTTGTTTTGTTTTGTTTAGTTTGTTTGTTTGGTTGCATAGCCCTGGCTGTCCTGGAACTCACTCTGTTGACTAGACTGGCCTTGAACTCACAGAGATCACCTGCCTCTCCAAAGAAATAATTTTAAATGTCGGAAAACTATTAAGATAAGAGAAATGACACCACAAACACCATAAAGATCCAACTTTTGTGCCAATTCATAAATTCCCCAAACCTATTTCAACTGTCAAGTGCTACTTCAAATATTTTACAAAGTGAAATCAAGAATTTTGTAGAATGATAGAAAACATAAAATAACAAAGATCAGGGAGAACTCAGAACTACCCACAGGATTAAAAAAACAGAAATGAAATAAAGAACTGGAGAGAAATTCATGCTAAAGTCATTTTAAAATAATTAAAATTATTTTGAACAGGTAGGAGATGATGACAGTCTCACTGTTACACAAGCTAATGTAGAAGTGACGCTAATCAGCAGCTATTGCCAAATTGCAAGTCTTCTACCATCTTAGTTGGGATTTCTATTGCTGTGGAGAGACACCATGACTATGGCAATTTTTATACAGGAAAACATTTGGCTGGCTGTGGCTTACAGGTTCATGGATTTACTCCATTATCATCATTGTGGGAAGCATGGCAATGTGCAGGCAGACACTGTGTGGAAGGAGCTGAGAGTCCTACATCTGTATCTGCAGGCAGAAGTGAACTGTGATGGAGACCTCAGAGCCCACCCCTTAGTGATGTGTTTCCTCCAACTAAGCCACACCCACTCCTGCAAGGCCCCTCCCTATGTGCCTGTGAGGACCATGCTATTCAAACCACCACATCTACCTTTGCTTATTACCCACCGGCAGTAACCATTTCTAAACACTTGAAATGCTATATTTCTCAGGCTTTGTGAGATGTCTTTCAACTTTATCTTACTGCTTTTGTTTTAGAAAGTTTTACCAAACTCTGGACAATAAAGATGCCCTTTCTGGAGTGTGTGTGTAATTCTATACAGTCTCTGTGGCAATTCTCCCATTTATTTTCTTTGTGTCTAGTTCACTTTTTACCCTTGCCTCTCCCCAAAGATAAAACTGTATCATCTCTTAATAGTAAAGATCAGATGAGATCTGGCATGTTCAGGGTGTTATGGCCATAGGTATGTGCCTTGTATCCCTGATCTCTCCTATCCATTATATAGAAAGAACTCAAGAAGTTAAAAAGCAACAAATCGAGTAATTCAATTAAAAAATGGGGTACAGAGCTAAACAGAGAATTCTCTATAGAGGAATATCAAATGGCAGATAAACACTTAAAAAATGCTCAAGGTCCTTAGTCACAAGGGAAATGCAAATAAAAATAACCCTGAGATTTCACCTTGCACCCATCAGAATGGCTAAGATCAAAAACTCAAGTGACAACACATGCTGGAGAGGTTGTGGAGAAAGGGGAACCCTCCTCCATTGCTGGTGGGAATGTAAACTTATACAACCACTTTGGAAATCAATCTGGCGCTTTCTCAGACAATTAAGAATAGCGCTTCCTCAAGATCCAGCTATAGCACTATTAGGCATATATCCAAAGTATGCTCAAGTACCCAACAAGAACATTTGCGCAACCATGTTCCTAGCAGCTTTATTCGTAATAGCCAGAATCTGGAAACAACACAGATGTCCATCAACTGAGGAATGGATACAGAAATTGTGGTACTTAGCAATTAAAAACAAGGAAATCATAAAATTTGCAGGCAAATGGTGGGAACTAGAAAAGATTATCCTGAGTGACATATTCAGAAGCAGAAAGGCACACATGGTATATACTCACTTATAAGCGAATGTTAGATATATAATATAGGATAAACATACTAAAATCTGTACACCTAAAGAAGCTAAGCAAGAAGGAGGACCCTGGGTAAGATGATCAATCCTCACTCAGAAAGGCAAGAGGGAGAAAACAGGGAACAGGACAGAAGCCTACCACAGAGGGCCTCTGAAAGAGTCTACTCAGCACGTTAACAAAGTAGATGCTGAGGCTCTTAGCCAAACTTTGGGCAGAGTGCAGGGAATCTTAGGAAAGAAGGGGGAGATAGTAAGACCTGGAGGGAACACGAGCTCCACAAGGAGAGCAACAGAAGCAAGAAATCTGGGCCCAGGGGTCTTTTCTGAGACTGATACTCCAACCAAAGACCATGCATGAAAATAACCTAGAACCCCTGCACAGAGGTAGCCCATGTCAGGTCAGTGGCCAAGTGGGTTCCCTAGTAAAGGGAACAGCCTTACCAGGCCATAGAGGAAGACAATGTGGCCGGTCCTGATGAGACCTCATAGGCTAGGGTCAGATTGAAGGGAAAGAGGTCCTCTCCTATCAGTGGACTTGGGGAGGGACATGGTATGAGACGTGGGAGGGAGGGTAGGGTTGGGAGGGAATGAGGGAAGGGGAGTGGTGGAATTGCAGGCATGTGTCCATTGTACCTGGCAATATTATTAAAATTAAGTTATTTTCTGGATTGCAAAAATGTTTTTCCTGAGGGAATGAGAAATTCATGGAGAAAATTATCCGCAAGCTTACTTACTCAGACCAATGAACCGTGAAGTTATGATAAAATTGAAGGCAAGTTCTAATTTTGAATTTATATCTAAATCCCTATGATTTGATGACAAGTAGGGGAACTAAATAAATATGGAAACTAGTATAAAACCTGGAGGTATGTCAATCTTTCAAGAACGGCAGAGGAAGAGTAGCCAGGGGGATGTGAAAGAATCGTCAAAGAAATAGCGGCCAGAAATGTTTCAACCAAGGCAATCATCAAAGTCACATAGAACGACAGACTGAAGCGCTGCCCACAGTTCTTCATGGATGCTTATTTTCACGTAAGTTGAGAGGCAAGGTAACAAAAAGCCAAATTAGACTGGACTTAGGGTACTACACCTCTTAAGAATCAACTGCAAAAACTACTCAATTGGTAAATTAGCTTTTAACACAGAAATGGACAAAAATCAACATTAGCCATGTTTCAGCAATAAAAAGAATTATAAAGAAAAAAAATCTACTCATAGTTACACAAACCCTTAAGTAGGAAATGTGGAGGAGCCACATAAATAACTAAATTTGTGGATATTAAAAGACGGGTGGAAAGGGCTCAGTGATTAGAGGATTGGTTGTGTATCAGTAACACCAGGAGTCTGATGCCCTCTTCTGGCCTCTGCAGGCACTGCATGCACACGGTACATGGCCAAAACATTCAGGAAAAACAAATGTTAAAAATGTATGCGTGGTATGTCAGACCTTAAGCTAAAGAAACTGTGGTAATTAACCTACATCCTTTCGACTTCTAGTAAATGACCACATCTGGTTTTAGATTCTAAACTGGAAAAGCAAAGGAGGAATACGCAGGTCAAGGCAGCAGCCTGTGTCCCTAGCAGGGCACCACTTATACAGCCCGTTGAACAGTAACTGATTACTCAGATGCTACCATCAAAGTATCCTTGTCATATTGTATATGGTTTTAAATCAAAATCCTTTCAAAATGAAGACCAAACATTACATTGTAAAGCCTCAGCTTAGCTTGTACAAAACAGCCTTTATGAAGAATGCTCTAACACGTTATTTACAAGACACCCGACATATATAATGGTTTTAATTTTGTGTGTATGGGTGCTTCTCATGCATATGTCTCTGTATGGACCAGTGTGTGCCTGGCACCTCATAGGTCAGAAGAGGGCACTGGGTCAGGACAGAGGGCTGTAAGCCACATGTAAGTGTTGGGATCAACTCAGGTTCTCTCCAGTTCCCCACTGTTATCACCTTTAATGATACAAAATACCAAGATATTTAAAGTAACTCAATATTATTATTAGTACAACATAAATATATATTTTTTTCTTTTTAAACATTTCTTCAGAGACAGGCAGACACACAGAGGCAGGGCATGTGTGAAGGTCAGAGCCTGCTAGAGCAGGCTCTTCTTTCACCCAAGCCTCCTAAGGCATATCAGCTGAGAATCATTTTTAAATCACTATCATTACATCTAAAACTAAATCTTTAAAGAATCTACAGAGTGTAAAGTGCAATGACAGTTAACATAAGAAGTGATTTTTGTTTTTCTCAAAAAATCAATGTGTTTAATAATAACTGACAGTACAAAATCCTGCAATGACTTTATTGTTCCTCTGGTGAAACTGAACTATCCTCAGGATCCTGGATTGGGTGCTGTCTCCTGGCTTCCTGCCAGCTGGGCTGTGTCTTCTTTTGGTTTCCTGAGCAGAAAGTGGACTATCTGCAGGAGAACCTCGTCGTCAAAGCCCTTCACGCCATTATCTTCCACTGTCTCATAGAGAGGCTTACTCTGTGTCCCCCAACATATGTTTTTACGGGGGTTATTTTGATCAGCTTGTACAGTCAGTGCTAAAGTATTTAACTGGTAGCAGAAAAAAGAGAAATGTTTCCCGTCTGTGATCACGGCCTGAGAGACAAAAGGCCGTGTGACATCTGCTTCGCTCCAGAACCCTGCAGAAGAAAACAATGCTGGATTTACATACCTTGATATGCAATATCAAGATAAAACATTCTGGAAGCCAGTAAAGACCTCTCAATCCCTGAAGATCTGAGTACCCTGTTTTTGTCACTAACTCTATTCTATTGCTGTATTAGTGTTTCCTCCCTTCTAGAGACCCCAAACTTATGATCCATCCTTAATAACTTCAGCCTTCAGAAGCTTCCAGCATTCATTCAGTTATCTAAGCTTTGCCTACAGGAATGTGCCTGCATCTGGTATTAACTTAATGACTTCAAATATGCTCGAAAAATATCCACACTAGAACCATGTAAAACCCAAGATCTATTATGACCACTTATTTCATCAAATATTGATACATACACAGCTCTGAAAACCTTCAGGAAAAAGTCTAGTTTTTCTATGGTTTCAACACCATGCCTTTGAATAATCCAGTGCCAACTGAGTATGTTCAGGTTTTTAGAATGCTGTCATTGTCTCTGGTGTCTCAGGTCAGAAGGTTCCAGGATGCTTCATACTTACCTATTTAAGTTTTCTGATTTCTTTTCTAGCCTGACTGCTTTAATATTCCTACACACCACCAAGGTCAGGAATCAACTTCTCCACATGTACATTTTATACTTAATTCTTAATGGCAAGATCTAACAAAAGTTATTGCTCAAATGCAGTAGGTAGGAGCTTATCATTCATGAAGACACAGTGTCACTGGAACATACCACTCACCCTTCCTGACTCCCTCAATCCTACCTACTGCCAGCTTCCTTTCCTATTTAAGAAATATATAATCAGCAATGGAAGCACAAAGTTGAAGAGACTTCACTAAGAACAATTCCTCCTGGGTTACTGTACAGGATTAATCTAGTTCGTATTTTGTATCTTTAGGCTTTGATGTAGAACACTGATCTCTGAGGAAGATGAGGATTACAGCTCACTGGTAGAGAATTTGCTTGGTAGACAGCACTCCTTGGCCCAAACTTCAAACTGGGTAAATAAAGTCCCCCAGGATATAGCTTCTACCTTCTGCTACATCATGTCACACCATTTCCCTCCTCGTTTCTTAACTGGCCTCCAGTCACCAGCTTCTAAGTTGTTCCCTACGGACTTCAAAAGCCTGTTCTCCCTGTAGAGACTTTTTCCGGTTACTCCTTTTACCTCAATGTGTCTTCCCCTAGAGTCTTCATGATAGCTCATCACCATTCAGGTCTTTGAGCGGAAGTCACTTCTGGACATCTTTGTGTAATGGCTCTATTCAAATAGATTTTTCCCTCAAATGCTTTTACCATAACACCACTCTGAAAATGGTATATGATTATTTTTCGTTTTCTACTGTAACAAAAGCTTTAGGTGAGTCAGGCCTGTCTGTTTTCAACACTGTCTCTAAAGCTAACCACTCTGCCATAAAAATATTCAAGGGCGGAAGACCCAGGCTGGATTCCTGGGACCCACAAAAAGGTTAAGTGTACTCCACAGAAAGTTGCCTTGTGACCTCCACATGCATGCCAAGGCCCAGACATCTAACTGTGTACTTGTACCAATGAACGGAGCACTTCCTACCCAGAATCTTGACTCCTGCATAATTTTTCTCCTAACTTGAAAATTTTACAAATTGAGGAAACCTACAAAGATTTGACTTACTCAACCAATTTTTGAAATGTTTGTGAAAAACACTAGAATATAATATATTTATAAAGGAAGTAATCAGAGTAAAAGCAGACTGCACGTGTGTACTTGCAAAATTTCAAATGTAGAATATTTCATTATGGATTTTTAAATAACTGCATTTTGGATCAACATAAAATCTGCAAAATGTTCACATCCAGGTTCTGTTTTTACCTAAAGGAAAAAAATGTTAATAATTCTATTCTCAACATGTTTTACTTTCCAGAATGACAACTGCCACCGCATTTGGGCTCACCTTGGTACATAGCTTGTGCTCCGGTCCAAGCGAAAAGACTTGCAATGGCGTTAGACCTATAAACAACTTCTACCTGCTCAGCTTGGTTTTTTTTTATTAGCCTTTCCCTATTTAACTTGTCAGGTAACAGATGAAACTGGGTGTGACCGTAGCAGCACGGATCTGCTGTTCTTGAGCCTAATGGAAACAATGAACACATTGCTGATGAAATGAGAGCATGCAGAAGCCTAGAGGCACATGTTTTAACATTTGTTTCAAGCATAGCTTTCTTGGAACATATGTTCAGTACTCAAAAGACATAAATGGACTGAATCACCTTAGAATTTTTTACTGACTATGGTTATTAGTATCAATTTCCCAACCTGTTCATTAGTACAAAGCTCACCAGGACCCAAAATAAGCCAGAAAGAAACACATAAAAGGAACTTATAATTCACCATTATTTAATTCTCCCAACCCCTCTCAGACATTAAGAGCTACTACTGCAATATCCCTCAGAGGATAGACTTTACCCAGGGGCAACCTAAAGACTGCAGTTGAATTTCTGGAGCCCACACCACAGAAAGAAGAATGCTCTCCAAACATGACTCCCGGCACTCATACACCTACACTCATTATGTGCCACATTTACAAGAAAAAATAACACAAAAGAGCTTCTTTACAATTAATGTACTAATATCTTTGTTCATTTTTTTATAAGAAGGTTTTTCTTTTTTGCTTTTTTTTTGGTTTTGGTTTTTCGAGACAGGGTTTCTCTCTAGAGCCTTGGCTGTCCTGAACTCGCTTTGAAGACCAGGCTGGCTTTGAACTCACAGAGATCCACCTGCCTCCGCCCCCCTGAGTGTTGGGATTACATACGTGCACCACTGTGCCCGGCTGTTTTTGTATTTCTAAGTAAAGAAGTAAGTACCTTAGTGGGCAGTGTTTGCCAAGCATGGAGGAAGCTCTGGTTTGAGCCTAAACATACATAATGCTGACAGGGTGGCACACACCCTCAGCAGTGGGAATCTGGAGGAGGAGGATCTGCGGAGTCCAAGGCCACTGCCATTCCACAGTGAGTGTCAAACCAGCCAGTAACAAAGAAAGAGAGAGAAGAACAAGCAAAACAGAAGCAGAGAATAATACAAGTAAATAAATAAAATAAAAAGCAAAGAAAAGGAAAGAGAAAGGGGAAAGGAGAGCAAAGGCAGAAAGAGCTCATGGTCCAGCTTTCTTAAATACAGACATGCACTATTCACTGTTAGTTTCAAAAAGAATTCCCAGCCACTAAACCCGAGTGAGAAAGGACTAACACAGTGGCCTGGAGGACTAATAGAATGCTCTCTTCAAACCTTCACTGGGTCATCTGAGGAGGAAGTGTACGGAAGGGACGGAACATCAAGGAGTGTTAGGATAGACTCCTAATGTAGCTGCCATGTGCAGAATAAGCACAAAGCTTCAATAAAAGGCCATCACAATCCTAAGCCCAGTTCTAAACATACAAAATACAAACGACTTTTCCATCTAATGAAATAAAAGGCCTAGCAAGTATAATAATTTTTGAAGATTAAATGTTGCTAAATCAGTAGACACAACATTTTCAAATTTAAATTTAAGAGCTAAATTTCTCTCCAATTTTCATTCACGCTACAATACACTGAGATTATGAATGATACTGCTCATACGCACTTGAACCTGTTAGTGTTTAAGAATTGAAATTAAGCTGGGTGTGGAAGATACACTCCTACACACCAGGGGGGCTCCCAAGTTCATGGGCAGTCAGGGCCACCGTCAGTCCAGAGGCTTGAGCTACAGAAACCCTGTCTCCGCCAGAAAAGCAGTAAAATAGTAATCCAAAATTAAATTTCCACTGAAGTTAAAGGATGCGTTAACTCTGAATATATTTATGGGTCAATAGATGAAGAGAAACTTACCGGTGAATATGCTGTTTTCATATTGCCGTCTGAATAACGGCATCTTGTCGGGCTTACACTTCATAACAGGGATTTCTACAGGAATGGAATAATCCAGTGGCACAAACTTGGAAGAGAAGAAAACACAGGAAATTCAGAAGCACTTGCTTCCACCTCATTCATAACCATCTTAGATTTACAGATTTTTTCATTGAGTTATTTTTTACAAAATGATTTGATTACACAGGCTGAGCACCTCTGAATCAAATGCTAGGGACCAGAAGTGTTTCAGCCTTCAGGTTTGCAGTTTGGAATATCCACACAGTCTGCAGGATGGGCTTTCCTAATCAATACTCTGAAATATCTTGAGTTCGGGAGAGCTTGGGGCTGCATCATCAAAAAAGAGCTCACCTACACTAACATGTACTCTGAGGCCTAAAGTGTTCTCCCATTTTAAAGATCCTGGTACTTGAAACAATCTTCGTAGAACAGATCATAGCAAACTAAAAAGCTGAAAAGATTTCAGCTTTTCCAGTTCAGTTGCCAACATAAAACAAACGGAGAAGGCAAGAGATCTACCCAAAAGACTTCTCTGCATTCGCCTGGTTGCCTGACTGGCTTTTGGCAGTGCTGAACACTGGGTGACAAAGGACACCAGCTTACCTCGGGGAGCTGCTTAGATATTCGAATCTGGTTGTGTGGTTTATCATTTATCTGGTACCGTAAAACATCAATATGACCTTTCCGATGACCAGCAGGAATGGTTTCCTCACCACGAAACCAGTAAAAGTCAACGGGGCGCTTAGAATCTATCAAAAGAGATTCAAAGTTTTCTCCATTACTCAGAGAAAAATGGTTGTTAGTTAACTTAGCCATAAACATGTTAAGAATAGCATGTCTAAAATACATACATGTTAAAAACTGCAGCATATAAGAACCCCAGTTACATAACTGAACCATTATATCTAAAGTACAACACTCAAAAACTTCATTTTGCTAAACACTGTAATTAACAGGATTACTCAGTTAAATGTAAAGATGCTCAAATGAACGGCAATAACACTCACCAGAATAAAATGAAAACTGACCTATGAAGCAATAACTTTATTTTTATAATTTCTCTAAGGGGTACATATAATTGCAATCACTGCCATTTTGTTCAAGAGGAACTTAGTCTGAACATATTTAAGTTTTCTAAGCTATCAATGGTTAGTAGAAAAAAATGACTGTGTTTTTCTAATACTACTTTTCCTTTATAACTGAGGAAGGGAATACAGGCACTACAAAGTTCAGTTAAGCACAAATAGAGCAATTTCTAGGTCAAATAAAAGGAACGTAATTGCTACTAGGAAGAATTTTATTCAAAATGGTAGTCGAGCAGAGCCTATAGGGTCAATTTTTCTGCGTAGCTATTAATTTGTGGAATAAAAAATGCAATAGTGACTAAAAGAGAAGATAAGATGATGTTAATTAGGAGGGAGATTAATAGGTTAATTGTTCTCTTCTAGGTTTTTACTAGATCTGATTGGAAGTCAATTGTACTTTTTACACTAAGAGAACATGAGCCTTATCAATAAATGGAAACGTAAAGGGAAAGTCATACGACATCCACAAAATGTCAGTATCATGCTGCTGCTTCAAACCCAAAGTGGTGTTTTGATGTAAAGTGGAATTTTAGTTGTCGGAAAAGGCATACGATAAGGAAGGTAGATCCGATGATTATGTGAAGTCCATGAAAACCTGTTGCTATGAAGAATGTTGAGCCGTAAATGCTGTCTGAAATAGAGAAAGAGGTTTCTAGATATTCTGATGCTTGTAAGGCAGTAAAATAAAGGCCTAGTATGATTGTGATCAATAAGGCTTGGTTTATATTGTTTCGTTTACCTTCTATAAGGCTGTGATGGGCTCATGTAGAATTAGTTCTACAGCCATGGTAGAATTAGTTGAGTAATTATTAGGTCACCCTCTGGATCATAGACGTAAATGAATTACAAACATATTATCATTATCTGCTGGAATGTAGCTCAATGGCAGTGTATTCTAGTCCTTGAGTTCAAACCCCAGCACTCTCACCCCATCCAAAACAAACAAGCAAAAACATTTTACATTCTTTCTCTCTCTCTCGTTTTATCTGAGACAGGGTTTCTCTGTGTAGGCTTGGCTGTCCTGGACTCCAGTTGTAGCCCAAGCTAGCCTCCAACTCAGAGATCCACCTGCCTCTGCCTCCCTGAGTCCTGGGATTAAAGGCTTGCAGCACCATGCCTGGCTATATTATTTTTCATGTCCACACTCAACAAACAGAAGTTTCTGTTTACTAGGACCGAATCTTGACCCCTAAACCTACCAGATACTGGGCCTTAAGACAGCAATATTTAAGTTGTGCCTTTTTACTCCTCATTTATAAAATGAATTCATGACATCTGCTGTGTTATTATGAGGGTTAACCAGTTGGCAATTAGAAACTCGGGAAAAAGGGATGACATACAGTAAATGATAAGAAAAATGTTAGGAATTTTAGCTAATATTTAACTTTCACAATTCTACGACCAAACAGTCCTACTGTAATTCTCATACTGGAATTAAGCAAAGTAAGAGAGGTCGATGTTTTTACATATGGGTCACACAGCCTCCCTGCGGAGGAGTCAAAGGACAACCCCAAGTTGGTGCACTGTCCAGCAGCCTCTTAAAACTGTTGGCTGGGCAGACAGAACCGGGTCAAGCTATGGAAATGTGATGGGCGTCCGCGGAGACCTGCAGTTAACCAACAGTCGGTAGTAGGGCAGGCAGAAACTCGGTGCTACTACACTGTCGGGGAGGCCAGCCCTCGCTACCGCCTCCCCACTCCCGGGTTCTGGGTGGGCGCCCCACGCTCACCGAGGGCGCCGGTGGCCAGGGCAGGGTTGAGTGGCGCGAGCAGGCTCACGAGGGTCCCCACCGTTTGGTCCAGGAGGGACGAGGCGACGAGCCGGCGAAGGTCGGGGCGGGGCTGGCGGCGGCGCCGCAGGTAGAGGTGCTCCTGCAGGATGCCGTCGCACACGGCGGCCCGCAGGCCCGCGAGGTCGAGCGAGGGCGCGGGGGGCGCGGGCGCGGGCGGCAGGCCCGACCGAAACACGGTCTTGGTGAAGGCCTGGTACCAGCGGTCGGCGTTCAGCGCGCCGGTCTGCGGGTACACCACGTACTTCTTGAACTGCATCTTGGTGAGGATCCGCATCTTCTCGTCCACGGTGGGCGCCGCGTGCACCGTCGCCTGCCAGCGCTGAATGCGCCGCCGCCGCGCCGCCTTGCTGTCCGCGGTCAGGGAAGCCACGATCGGCGGGTACCGCGCCACGGGCGTCGCCGCCAGCCCCGGGCCGCCCGCCTCGGGGGCCTGAGCCGCGGCCGCCTGCCGCGACAGCCGCCGGCCGAGGGGCACCAGCCTCCAGCGCCCGGCCGCCGCCATCTTGGCCCGCCGACCCGGAACCGAGGCCGCCGTCCGCGAGCGGTTCCTCTTCGCTCGCCGTAGGGGCGGTCCTTCCCGGAGCGGACGCCCGGCGCCCTGCGTCCTTCGGTTCGCAGCCAATCACCTTGCTCCTCTGAGAACCTGTGCGCGAGAGCGTCTGAGGAAGGCCGCGACCCGGAGGGCCGGCTCGTCGGTCGCCTTAGGGGCTTGCGCTGTTCTCAGGCGCCGACGCTTAGCCGTCTCCCCCAACGGGAAACTTGACACACGACGCTCCCCGCGAGACACGCGGTCTCATTGGTGTCTCTCACACCGAGCTCCCTCCACCCCAGTTAGAGCTGGAAAGGTGTTTGAGGAAATACAGCATCTCTCTAGCTGTGCTTGCTAATTTTGAAAGTTACGCCAGCAGCGCTTGCCCGTGAATGCTTCTAAACTTTAGAAAATGTGTTTTTCCTTGAGTTTGCCGCGTGCGCAGGTGAGGTGCATAACATAAATACTAAACACTTTGAGTTTTGCTCTGTGTTAAACCCGTTGTTATTTTGATAGGAACTTACTCTTCACAACAATCTGCGTGAAAAAAGGATCTCTTTATTTTTCAGTCTTCAGCAACCAGTCGATAAATGTGCATAATGGTTGTTCAAGAAATATCTGAAAAATCAACAAAATCTCTCAAAGTCTTAGTTATTTTCAGACAGCCTATTCCAGTGACTCATACTCTAACTAAGAACCAGAATCATAGTGATTTTGACTTATGGAAATAATTCTAGAGCATGTTGCAAATAAACGTTTTGCTTCTGAAAGGAATGTATGCGCATCTTTAGGTTACAACTGATGATGTGGTTTATGAAGCATCAGGTGTGTAAGACAGAAGTTTAGAAACGAGGAAGCTATGTTTCGTTTACGCTTCATGTGAGAAGTACCAGAATCTTAATATCCTTTTAACATTAATAACAAAAGGAGGACATGATCTCAATCTTCATGTTCATATTCAGCACTTAAAGAATAAAGGTGAGGTGCAGAATAGCAATATAAATTGAAGTACCTTTTTGTCAAAAACATTCTTTTAGAGTATCATATAAAATATAAATCATTTTTTATAATTTGGCATACAATTTCAGCACGTATTTTAGATGAGAATGTTAGCTCTGGGAACAGTTAACCCTAAGTAAGTGTCTGTGTGACCTTGCATTCTTAGCAGTGAGTCAAGATATAATCATATTACCTAATTTTGTAATTTATTAGACAGGCATAGTTGCCATGAGAAGAATGCAGTGGACAGAGTAAGCATCGGTGCCCTTCAGTGTGTGCAGAGGTGTTTACAATCCAAAGAAAACATGACCAGAGTGTTACTCCTTATAGACATATTATTTGAGCCAATTGATGCCAATGGCCTGAGTAGAAGATGAGGGAGTTATGCAAATATTAGTGAGGGGAGGTCCATGAAGGAGAAACACATGCAGAAATTCTGAAGGAGGGGTCTAACCTGAAGATACAAAAAGTGGAACGACATGAATTAATACAGGCTTTCTGTTGGCTTAAATGCATGTCTGAGCAGTCTTCTCTGGGGGCTATGACAAAACAAGGGGAAGTAATATGAATTGAGAAGAGAAAGGAAGAGAGTCAAACTTAAGGGTTTCTGGGCACAGCTGCTTGTATTGTTAGGACTCTGACTGGAACTCTCAGTAGCTAGGAAGCTGCTGAACTCAAATGTCATAATGCAATGTAGATTTAATTGTTTTTCTGTTTAGACTGCTAACTGATGAGATTTTCTTATAGTTCTGGAGAGTAGAAGTGCAAGGTGACAGTACCACTGTGGACAGAACCTTGTGAGAGCAAACAGCTTCACATTGCATAAAGAAAGCATGACAACCTCTATTTTTCTCTTGTATGAAGACTAATCCTATTATTACAGGTTCCTAACCTTTTCCTTTTAACAACACTTTGATTACTTCTGCAAATTCAGTCACACTGAAGGTTTGAGCTTCGGCATAGGGATTTGGGGGAAGATGTAATTTCATCGCTCACAGCCATCACACACACACACACACACACACACACACACACACACACACACACACACACA